AGAAAGTGACTGAGAGTCTATGACTGGTCCCTCACCCTTTCCTCTCTGACACTGTTCTTCCCTCCTTCCCATGCACCGTGAGCTAAGCATCTTTTCACCCTTCTGTCACGATGCTCCTGCACCTCGGAGCCAGCCAGCCATGGACTGAACCCCCTGAAACCATGAGCTACATTAGACTTCTCCTTTACATTGTGAGTGTCAGGGTAATACCAGCCCTGTGGGAGGCTGAGGCATGAGGATTACAAGGTCAAGCCCAACCTGGGCAAGTTAGTGAATTGGTCTAAATGTCTCAAAATTTTAAAGAATTTTTTTAAAGGAATGGGGATGTAGCTCAAAATGAAGGCCCAGGGGTCAACCCCAATAAACCAAAAAATGGGTGTCAGGTATCATGTCCCAGCCATGGGAAAGCTGATTAACACAGAAAATTGGTGCCAGAGAGATGGGGTCATGGCTGCGCCTGTACCTGACTACGCCAGTCATGTTCAAGTCACTTGGTTTGTGGAAGGACTTCAGAAATGTTTGGAGATTTGGACTAGAGAAGCCCTAGAAGGCTGTAAGCAGAGCCTGACGGACAATTCTGATTGGAGCTCTGAAGACCGGAATAGTGATAAGAATATGGACAGTAAAGGCCGGGCTTGGGAGGTTTCATCTGGGAACAAGGACTCTATTAGCTATTGGTTGAGAAGCCATGTGTATTGCACTTTGCCAAAAAAATATTGTCTATATTTTGCCCATGTCCTGGGACTTTGCAAGAGACTAAGGTTAAGGGTGGTAGGCTAATCAGTTGACCAAGCAAAGTAAGTTCAAAGCCCAGCATGCAGGCTGCTGAGCTGCTATTGTAGTGCATGTACTGATCATTGCTTTTAGCCAGGTTTATAGTCAGAACCAGGACTAAAAAGCAGAGCAGAAAAATTTGAAAAACTTAAATTTTGCCCAGAAGGAATCATATTTAGAGTTGAGGCAAAGGAGATGTGGCTGATGAAAAGATTAGCCCCATTAAAAAGAAACCAGTTGTTTTGTACAGGAACAAAAAGAAAGATGCTTGGAGGGCAAATCAGAAATCAGCAAGAACCCACCTACTGCAGGCTCGAGGGTGCTAAAATGCCAGCCTGTCATTTAGATGAGAGTCCCTTGGGGCCCTACTCAAGCAAGGCTGCCTAGGGAATTGATTCTCCAGGATTCATTTCACTCTGCTCAGCCATTCAGGGACTGAGAAGCCA